TCTCTCTTTTATCTTTTCGATTCTTGCGACACTGGCTCGCCTGAACGAAGCACAGTTCTTCTTCATCGGTCAGGAAACGATACCTCCCACCCTTAGAAAATATTAGGCTCTTGCAGAAATTTCATCCAGGTCTTTGTTCATGAAAACAAAAGTAATAATAATAATGTATTTACTATGTGCATTAATATAACATCGCTATGCAAAGTGTTTCGTTTATCTTGTATTGCTAAGTATTTTAATCAGCGTTATCGATAGAACAAATTGTTGCAACCTAATACGTCGACTATCTGTTTAATTTGCAGTGTAATTTGGTATTTCGCAACGAAGGAAAGATTTGGAATTATGGATGGAAATTGGTGGTAATAGGGGCGAAGAGATTGTACGGGCTTGGAGTGAGTTTAAGTTGAATAGAAGGGTAAAAATGGAAGGGATGAATTAAAGGTACGCGTGATGCGGTAAAACTGAAAACCTTCGTAAGGGAAGGTTAAGCTATAATACACGCAGAATCATAAATACTCTACAACTTTGAGTGTTTTAACTATGATATTCCTTTAATATCCTCTAACTATTTTGAACGGTGTAATTACTGCAGTACCATTATGAAACCTGTACCGATACGTCATTACCCGCTAGATGTACAAATATCAAACGATTCTCGTAGTTTCTTAAAATACGTACTCTTGAAATAACATAAAACTCTAAAACACTCGAACAGAACCACAATGAAAAGCACAAAAATGAATGTATTAATGTTGTTTCAACCTTTATGCATATTTTTTCTTTCTATTTTTATCCATCAACATTTACCAAACTATAGTTGCAAGGTGGCGACTCGTTAAAGAATTTCCCGACGTCTCGCATCTTCGTTTCCTTGAATTCCAGGATGCACCCCTTCGTGTATCCGGGTGGGTGCAGCTGGCAACTGGTCGGCAGAACGGTGCGATAAAAGGACAACAAAACGCCACGAGGCGTGGCGATTAACTGAAACAACCGGTCCGACAATGGAGTAATCAGCGAGCTTTTCGACGCACCCATGCCTCCGCCCCGCCGTTCGCACACCCCACCGTGCCTCTTACCATTCGACGTCGCGGGCCACCGTTTTGTTGTCGCTTCAGCAATCGCAACGATGATGCCTCGCGAGCTCTTTGTCCCGTCACACGTTCTTTTCCACGCTATGCACCAGTCAAGAACAATTTGCTCAGACTAGCTAAATATGTGTTGGATTAATTTGTGAAAGCATATCTGGAACGAAGTTTCGATTTAATGAATTTCGGCGTTTATTATGGTGAATGGACAGTGGCAGAGTGATCGAAAATTCTATGGATTGATCTTTTTATAGATTAATTGACACGTGGGATATGGATAAGAATTTCGAAGACTTTTATAGCGAATGAATAATTTAAGAACATTTCAAGTAAATTATAAAAGTATTTGATGAACCACGCTGGTTACAGGATCGATAGACTGCGAGCTTCCATGCGTTTTTTAAATAGTTGAGACTACAAAAATGCACATTATATACGTGATACTTAAAAATATCCTATAAAGTAATCAACGTAGAGTAGACTGAATAATAGTAAAAAGTAGAATACTAAAGTATTATAAAATGATAGTAAAATAGCGATACCATCTGATGGGTGGAACAAATGTCTATTTAATTCCATTTCTTTATTCATAAAAATACGAATTTGCATAAATGTCCGCAGTCCTGTTTCAGTCCAATCATCCACTAAAATAGTCGAAATCAACAAAATGACGGAAACAAACACAAACACTTGATAATTGATCGAAAATGTAGAAGAAGATTTCGTTGGAAAGGGAGACGCGGTATCCCGAAATTAAGAAGCCGTCGGCGACGGGGCGCCGGAAAGCCGGATTGTTTCATTGATGAGGGAGCATTCAGGGCCGTAGTAGTCGCCGGGACCAAAGTGGGCACACGGTTGAAAGGGGGAGAAACAAGGGGTAGAACGGTGCTACGACGTTTACGAGTCCGCCAGCAACCCTCTTTCGGACTACGGTGCGCGATGAATGGTATAATCAGTGGTCGCGTGCCACCCCACAGCACGGAAGAGCGACCGAGACGATAACGGAAGGTGAGACGAATGGAGAGAGAACGTGTACTGATAGAGAAATTCCCTCCCCCGATTGTCGTGCCTTTGCTATCATCGAAATCGAGACAGAAGCGAACATGGAAAAGTCACTTAACAACCCCATACCATCGTACACTTTCTCCCCCTTTTTTGGGATGTGCAATCCCAAATCCTTCTTCGAGGTTTCTCGATTCTTTCTGCTTTCTGCCAATTCTTTTGCAGGAAAAAATCAGATTTTTGGGCAAGTGACGCTAACCCAGATATACTTTTTATGAAATTTTTCAATATATCACTTTCTTCTTTATCTAGGATTTGTTGGAAAATTGTTATATCATTGTTATATTAAAATTAATAAAAAGGAAAACATTTACTGCAAACGATATTAGTTGAAATTATTAGTGTCATAAAAATTGCGAAATATAATAAAACAAAATTACCATATGATTACTCTTTTGGAAAGATGGTAGGGATATCTGGTGTAGAATTTTTGGTACTTTATTGAAGAAGATATTTTGATAAAAATATGAGAAGGGTAAGGAAAAATAATTATTATTACCTGATATTCGGTACACGATACTTTTGAATTTCCTAACATTGTGATGGAACATCCCACAAAAAAAGAAGCGTGATGTTTGCCAGCGATACGGACTAATTGAAAGTGTCAGAGTACAGATAAGGGTTTCGTACAACTTCGTGTATGAAAAGGGACACGGTTCCCCTTTTCGAGATCCTTTCTTCTCGTCGATGACCGATAAAAATCGCGTTCACGCCCTGCGAATAACGGAGAATGTGTAACGAGGGGTGATAAAGGAACGTCGGTAGAACGACAGCCGAGCGTGGCGATTCATTCACCATCGTGTAGTGAATTTATGATCGAGTTAATAACAGAACAAACAGCTGATTGCCTTCGATAATTTCAACCCTCGCTCGTGCGTCCTCTTTTCCACTGTCATCCGATTCGCCTACATCTGTTCATAGCTAAATTTTACTGCGAATTCCTTTCTAATCTCTCATTATCCCTATTACTAGCAAAAGGAAATTATATAGTATTCTATCAATTTATCAAGAAAGACGATAATAAAAATAATAAGTTTCAGAGGAAATATGAGATGAATAATGAATCTAATTTTTGTTCTGTTATTCTTACTAATAAATTTCGGATTTTAATGTAAGCAGCGATATTTAAATGACAAATATATGTCATAATATATATAATAAATAGTAAAATATTATTGCTATATTTTTAATAGTCACACATATTGGATTTGTTGTCTGGTGATTCCATTATTATTTTTCCATGAACTTGTACATTTTGATAAAATTCGCATATACTATCGTACTAACCTACTTAGGAATAATATTAAAAATAATAAGCAGAATATTGGATGTGAACAGAATCTCGAAGTAAAAGGAAGATAACGAAGATAGTTAAATTAACGTTTAGAAATCGACCATTTTTCTTCTATCTTTCTCATTATTTCATTTTCTCGTCGACTTTTCTCCTGCCTGGCACAAATACACCCCTCCTTCAGACCAGTCAGATGAATATTTCGGAACCTTCCGGAAATTCGATGACACCGACCGTACAGCCGTTTCTTTATAAAAGTTGGAATTCGCTGAAATGTTACCACTAACACACAGCCCTCTTGTCTCGTTTTATACCTCCTCTCTTTATCGCCTTATCACTAGAGAGACGTCTTCAGCTCCGCGTTCCCCCTCGACCGTTTCTTCCAGCAAGACATTGCCGACACTGATAACATTTATTTGGAGAAATGGCCCGCTCGCTCTTCGCCTCTACAACGGCCGAACAAAGCAAAGAAAAAATTCTCCGTTCATGGTGTGATCACTGCAATACATCTGATGGTGTATTAATGAGGTTCGTCGATGACGGTGGAAAAATTTCTGGGCAAAGTATCGTCCGTTTCGTGGATGATTGATGGTGTATTGTCACATTTACTCGATAGATTTATTTAAAACTAGATATGCATTTTTATCGCAGGAAACAATATCTATCGTTACTGGATATCTAATTCCTATTATATGAAACAACTGTTCTTTTTAATTTAAAATTGAATAACAAATTGTTATGATGATATATCAGATATATAAATGTCATTACATTTTATTATGCGATATTTGATAGATATGACATATATATAAATTTAATTTGTCCAATAATTGCGTAAATGTTGTCTGACTGTTATCCAACTGTTCAGTCACTATTTAATATGCATATAAATAACAACTTTTCACATAATAGAAAGTATAAATATTAAAGCAATAGAATACCAAATAAGATAAAATACTAATGTCTATAAAATGAAATGTCAAATAATATAAAATACCGATATAGCAAAGTATCGAATCTATGAAAGGTTCATTCATTACTTTATTCATTACTAGTTACGGGAAATTTAGAAGTGTAAAAATGCATAGAATAATAGATAATACACAAATCCTCCTTAGATCCTTCAGACACCACGAATCTCATCGTCAGAAATGCGCGTAACGCGTTACGTCTGACTTGTGACGGTCCTGTTCTACTTACGACCGTAAAAATCAATTCAGCCCGCGATTATTTAAAAGAGTCGATGTCGACCGGATGCAAGCTGACCATCGACGTCGACCAAAGAGGTCAGAAAAGCGGTAGTACGATAATCTGCGTGACAGACACACAGCGAGAATCATGGCCCGGCTGGCTGGCTGGCTGGCAACGTGTACAACGAGGAAACGTAGCTAAAAAACGAAGAGAGAAGAAGCACACCTCCACCTGTTGAACGCGCCTGTATCCTCCGTCCGCCATGTCGACGAAGGAGCCAATCGTGCTTGTCCATTAGCCGTGGACCATGGTGGGAGAGTAGAAACATCCCTGGTTGGCCGATCCTTGTCTCCTCCGCGTCCCACGGGACTCCAGCTACTCCACTCGGTCCCGATTCCTCCCTGGCTCATCCCAGACTCGATGTCAGAGAGGTCCTGACGGATTCTTACCAGTCCTCGTCACGGTATCAATCACACAGCTTCCCTACGGTTAACTTGGTGTCGGTGCGCTGTTTCTCTCCTTATGAGCAATCGAGAAGAAACCAGTTTTAATTGAATCGAACAAGGACAGATCGAATGGAGAGGATTCAAGGAGCTGGCCTTAACGAGACATATTCGTATAACATTGAAGAATGAATCTCTCTGTGAGTGACTGCTGGAACGACGATCAGATTCGAAGAACATCTTTCGTGTGAATTTTGAAATTCGGTTAGAGGGGGTGAGTGTAAAAAGAGAAAGATTCTGGCTCGAAGATTCATAAGAAGATTGAAAGAGAAAGTTGATGACAGTTTGAGACAGCAGAGTTTTGTTGCGAGAATTTTGATTGGAATTGTGGTTTGAAGACTGAAATCGAGTCGTCGTTGAGCATGTGGAAATTGTTAGCTTTGACGACCACGTGATCGAAAGTTGTAGAAAGGTGCAGTGTACAATATTTGTCAAGATCGATACTCATCGAGCAATGATGAAGGACAAGAATAGTGAAGAAAAAAATTGTTTATCGATAAAAAGATGTGAAAGAATGATATCGATAGAAGATAGGAATTGAATTTGTAGAAGGAATTGATCGAAAATAATTGTAGATCGTAAATCAGAATAACGGTCGAGATGTCATCGAAAACGCTTCACAACGAGCACATCAAACGTCCGATGAACGCGTTTATGGTGTGGTCACGGGGACAGCGACGGAAAATGGCCCAGGAAAATCCGAAGATGCACAATTCTGAGATATCGAAGAGGCTTGGCGCCGAATGGAAACTGCTCAGCGAAAGTGAAAAGCGACCTTTCATCGACGAAGCTAAAAGATTAAGGTAAGTATCGAAATTTTATTAAATATTCCACAAAAAAGTAACGTCTGTATCTGTAAATTTCGAGATCCTGAAAGGAAATCACGAAATTGATCAAATATTATTTTATTTATTTATTAAAATACAAAATTTACTCAACCATGCTGTGCATTATAAACGTAGAATGGAATCTTAAAATAAGAATCCGATATATTTTTTACATAATAATAAAATTAATGCTTAATAACATAATGTAGAGATTGGGAAAATATAAGAGTACCCGTCGCGTGATGTTCGCTACTTTTTATACGCTTCTGAAGACTCGAAACGCACAACACACATTCTTGCCACATGTGCAACTCCAAATTTCCACGTGGGGTCACGCATTTGAGTCAACGTGTATATTTTCCGAATCAATCCTTGCTCACTATCGATAATTTAAACATCTACATAATTCGCCATCACTTTGCACAAATTTTTTTACACAAGTTCACAAAAATACATACATTGTATCATTCCCTGATAAATATTACGAAATTTCTTATAAAAAGATCAAACATTATAATTTTTCTATGTACTATTCGAACTATTTTATTTACCAAAGTTACAAAATCTACTAGATTATAATACGCATCATAAATGTTATAAAATTTATCATTAAAATACAAAAATTTTTTCTTAATAAAGCAAAAATTGTAAAAATCCTCCTAAGTTCTCTAAAAGTATTTAAAAAAATATCGATCAGTTTCTATAAACACCAATTTTTGTGGTTTGTGAATCGAAATGTTTTTTTGAAAGAATGTGAAATAGAAAGTTCGTTTCGTATCATCTTCAATCAATATCGAAGATTTTTCTTTTGCGTGCTAATTGCTCTTTAGTCACGAGTGGCCGAACAAAATTATCGCATCGAGGCGTATCTGCAATAACTGTGAAGAGGATGAAAAACGAGGAAGGGGGATCTCGTAGTTCATAATACGGTACATTGTTGCTAAAGCTAAGGGTGTGCTGCGCTAAGCCAAGGGGTGGAATAGGGTGAACGAAGTGGTATTTATGGAGGTGGAGGGGACGGCCTCTTTATTACCGACCCTGAATATTTAATCATTGTTATGAGTTTATTTAGCTCGCCGTACGATGAACAGGTCGGAGAGATTTCACGATCGAACGACATTTTTATCATTTCTGTTTCATTCTTCACGCTATCGAGGGGAATTAATGGGGGAATAATTGCTACTTTAAACATAATATTCTATATAGTCAGCTATAACTTATTCAATCCCTTAAAGAAATATTGGATACTATTTTGTGTATTTCGAATGTGTTACGTTAAATTTTAACTTTCCCTACTTTCTTTCGGTTACTACTGGTTTTAAAAAAAGCACGAAGTAATCGTTCTTCAAAAGAGAAATTCTTTTGGGCACTTGATTTTGGGCATTTCTAAAAGAAAAGGAAACGAAGGAACTCAGACAAAGAACAACAAGACAATAAATATAGCGGAGATCGAGAGAACACGACGAAAGGAAGATTAATTTAAAAGTACGATGCGCGAACTGTCGATGACAGAATCGAGGTCTGTCAGGGTTTTTCAAAGCAAAAATTGCCGGGACAGCGAATTGATAGGAGGCGGCTGGGGTTGAATATAACCGGCGCGGCGATGATGCTCGTAAAATAAATAATAGAATAATAAAGTCGGTTCTTCCTAAATTGTCGATTCACTTTCAATTGCCAAGTATTCACTTTTCCCCTCTTTTTTCGTTCGGGATAGATCGGTTTTGAAAAGAAAGAAAAATAAAAAATATATAGAAAGGGTAGAAGAAAGAAGAATCAATCGACTCGGTAGTGAATTCTATCAACGGAATGTAACATGGAATCCGCTTTTCTATCGATGACCATGATCGAGTCCAACAAAAGGAATTATGAAGTTTCGCACTGACGCACAGTCCGTGTCAGTTGTGATTCGATTCCTTTTTTCACGGTATCGAATATTGCCTTTTTCAATTGCCGAATGAAAAATATTGTCCCGCCTAACAGACGCTACTGAAATTTTTTTCAAAAGTGGACAAATGTGTCTTCATTGTTTTGCAATCATCTTTTATTCGAAAACAATCCGTTCGAGTTTTCAAAGAGATGTGCGCATAAAATTTTCAAACTGAAAACTGTATGTATTATATATATTTCAGAAAAACTTCTATTCCACATAATATGATCCTAAAACATAAAACATCAAAACAAGACCTATATATTCATTAACTAGTATTTGTTACCAAGCATGCTGTCTTTTTATTTATTCTCAACGCAATCCTATTTTCCTATCATTGAAAAATTACTCGAGTTTAAAAAAATGTGATGGAATTATTATTGAGGTATGTGTTTTTCAGGAGCATTAAAACATTAACGCTTGATGTTTATGACGGGTTCTTCTACTCTTCATCTAGTGTTCACTAATAACAAAATATTTAATTCCAATTGCTTAGCCTTATCAGTTTCCTAATTAAAAACAAAAGCATATTGTGATAAACTTTCACTCATGATAGTCCTTAAGGGTTAAAAGTTCTTTTGATTGTTGAGATGAGAATGAGATTGAGAAACAAAAATTTGGGGATAAGTATGACTCTTCTGCAACGATTGAGTTGGTATTGTTAGCGAAATTTTGCAAGCCATCTCACAACTTTGATAACGAAACAAATTAATTTTGATCGTTCTGTTCAACATGAAAACCGCTTATACAATGCAAGCCTATAATCTATATTTTTTACTTACCAATTTTGTAATATTACTGCTTAGATCGTAAGTAAATTATTCGTAGAGATTACCATATATTCTTCCACCACATCCCATCTCAAAAGGAAACAAATCCACTGAAACAAACTAACAACCATCCCCACTGGAAGTCTGTAAAATCGACTTGAGGGAGCCTCAATATTCATTCTACCCGCGAAAACATTTCTCAGGTAAAGATACAGAGGAGTCAGGGGAGGAAAATTTCGAGCAGAGACGTGTAACGGCGAATCCGCTTTTCTGGCGGATGACGGCGTCGCTGACGATTCTGGTAACGGTAGTGTGCAAAAACGAGAGGGGTTGGCCCGCGGGGGAGGGTTGCCAAGAGAGGGAGGAACGGTCGTAAAATAAAGAGGAGAGGGCCCGATAAAAGTCGTTCCCCTGGAGCCAGGTTCCTGGTAGGAACGGGTTCCCCTGGAGCCAAGCCGTCACTGGCCCGACGTAATCTGTCCGTTCGTTCACGGCGACTCACAATGTGGCCCCCGAGATAACAAATAAAGCCCCATTGTCGCAATTGTGTGGATTTAAAAGGATTTGCGCGGCTCCTCTGCCGGCCCCTACCCTCTCCGCCGCCCCTGGTCTCACCC